CGCTTATATGAATATATTATTTTAAATTATTCAATTTTATTCGTTAATTTATTAGGGGCAAGTGGATATTTAATTATCATCACCAAAAATATGGTGAAAAATAGAAATTGTACATAAAAGTCATTAATTAATATTTTCCATTTTTTTTAAAGACAGCTTATTATTCCATAATAATATTAAATTTACAAGATCTTTAGAAATTAAGTGAAAAGTTTTCAATGCCATTTATAATTTTTTATGGCTAAGAAGAAAATCATAACTGCACTATGTACGCGTACGAACGTATGTTCGAATTGTATCATAAATTTGCTACTTCATTTATAACTTTAAGAAACAATAATTTGATTTATAAACATATGCATATAATATACATATATTCTTGACCAGTATCGAAGTCGTTGTATCCCATATTTCTCCGTTTATGCCAATGATAACTTAAAAACTAATTGAATTAAGTTCATCACATTTTCATAAATAATTTATTATTATAGTAAATTCCAGAACTCTATTTGAATGGGAGGCAGTGATTCGATTAGTTATTAGAAATTATTGAAGCTACAGTACCGATATATTTTTATAGGCCATCATTTTCAATAAAACTCTTTCATATTGTGTTGAAGTAAGTATATGTTTTAGTTGCCATACATCTATGAGATAATACTAAATAAAAAAAAAAACTAGTTTTATAAAGCAATATGATAATTATCAAAAAACTATTGAAATCATTCATTCGTAACAGTTTCACGAGATGGTCAAACTCAACCCATTTTCGTTTTACGAGTATCTTACTTTCATTATATTTTGTAATTTTCTTTAAACTTGATTTTACTTTATATTAATTATAATTAAACAAAAAATTGTTGTATATATGAATAATATAATTAAACTTTCATTATAAATTACAATACACCTTTCACTCATTAAGCTGATCAATTGTACGAGTATAAATGTATGTTAAAAGAAAATAATGAAAATGGAAGATGCAACAAACAATAGTATATAATTTGAGTTGTAACATCGCTTTTATGAAATTTATAACAAAATTTTCATAATATAATTATAAGGTATGCAGAATTTCAATGTCACTTTATATTTTTTAATAAGTATGTACAAATATTGGAAACTATAAATGCGAAAACATAACAAATTACAAAAATTATTTTGATCAAAACTTTTACCAATGTTACGGTGGTAAGCTTGGGAATTTCTTTGCTTGGATTATTACTTTAAAAAATTTTCATAAATATAGTTTAACTGATTACTTGACCCTTCTAAACATATTAAATAATTATAACATATGAAGGAACTTCATACATTTTCATATAAGTACATATTTTCATAATTATGTTCATTTAGGCACATATTCATAATGTTAAATTTGAAAATATTAAAAAATGAAGAGAAAATTAAATTTTTTAAAAAAATTGAAAACTTAACGCATATTTAAGTGAAATCTAGGTCATTCAATTAATCTTTTCTGTTTAAAAAAATTTAAACTTGCATATTACATTCATACATATATGGGGTATACGTGTACAATTGTATGATTTTAAAATGTTTTAAAGAAAAAAAAAATCAATATAAAAAGCATAAAAATGTATAAACGAAAATCTTCAGTTTGCTTTCACTTTAATGAATTTTAATAAAGTATAATTAGGTATGTATTTAATGATTTCTCAGTACATCATTACTATAAACAGTAAAAAATATAATTGCCGATTTTTCAAACAAGTTTTAATACGATTTTTTAAAATATTAAATTACAACAAAGAAAAGGATTCATTGCACAATTTTAGAAGATGCAATTTATTATTTAAATAAATTTTAAATTCGATTTAAGCGGTGCAATTTTTAGCTACATATAGATTTTAGATATCAATAGAGGCTGTTGAAGAGAATTGCATTATTAAATAGCGCAATCACAATACAAATTTGATATAAGCACATATAACTCATGATATGAATTAATATACTGTTTTCCATTAACATTTATTATATTAAAATAATTTAATTATAGTTAAAATTTGTTAATATTTGTTCTTAGTCGTTTAACTATACAATAATACTAGTTGGATATTCTATTTTATATGCAGTATGCTCAAACAAAATATGAAATCTGGAACAGCGGTGCATTTATGTAATTTTCATTTTGATAGAATTTTTTATTTGTAAACAAAATTAATTTAGAATCAAATAATATAGAGCGTTAACGCATACTGAAATGCTAACCAAGTCCTAATAATTGAAATGGGTAACAAATAATTTAATTTTAAATAATTTTGCTAAAAATTTAATTTCGAAGAAATTTTCATATAAAATTAGTTTAACACATTTTTCTTTATAAAAATAGTTTTGTATTTCCGTTTAGATTATTATTATAAAAGAATTTTACAAATAATAGAAGTTTAGCCGATAGGTTTTTTATGTTAATTTACAAAAATAAATTTTTATTATAAAAGAATTTGTTAAAAACTTGTTCCAATCCAAAAGCATATGAGCAAAATAGGCTACTGTCTGTGTTCAAAGTTGAAAAAAATTTTGTATTTTTTTCTTTCTTATTTTAGTTTTTGTTTATTGTTTAGGAAATGAACTCAGAAGGGATTCCAATGACTTGATTTGTATTCTAAGTGAACTCAAATATCTTCAATTTCTCTTTGACTTGGGTTAAAATATGAACCCACATGTTATATATTTTTTCTCCTAAAAAAAAACATGGAAAATATGTTTAGAAATTGAAAATTTTTTGCTTATATTTTGTTACATATGCAACTTTTTTCTTTTTGTGTAAAAAGTTTGTTTTATAGGCAGCAAGAACATAGAATTAATACAGAAAAAATAAAAAAAATCTATTTTTTGAAAAGCTTTATGTTGTTTACTTGAATTCTTATATCCATTAGTTTTTACACAGAATTAATGTCTTTGAGAAGAGTAGAAAAAAAGGAGGTAATAACAAGAACAAAAAGGATATTTTTTTACGAATATTTACGGGTATTATTTTTTTTTTGTGGTACAATACTCGTACTTTACTTTTATAGAACATATACATTTATACGAGTACTCATTTAAATGAATATAAATGACAGAATGTTTGTTTTCACAGTGCATTATGAAAAATTTGGCAATGTGAGAATAATTACGTTAATGAAATAATTATTCTCATAGAAATATGAGAGTAAATGCTTAAAAATTTTATAATAGAAGAGAAAATACAAAACTGAAATTATTTAATCAAACATTAATTAAAGATTTTGTAAAAAATTTTTTGGTTAAGATTTGTAAATTTTGATTTATTAGTAAAAAAAGCTTCAATACTGATTATATTACGGAATCGGCATTGTCATTTTTCTGATAAGGACGATTTTATTATATATAGTCAATTAAATTTTTAATTTTGATTTTGTTGTAACTTAATAGAACTATGAATTATAATCAATTATTTTTTTTTCTTCTTTTAAATGAAAACATAAATTAAATAATAAATAGAACAAATTATGTAATTAATATAAAACTGATATATTAGAAATTTTGTAGAACACTGTACGTATTAAATATTTAATAGAAACATGGTTATGTAAGTATAATGATGATATCAACCAAGTGGTTTACATTGTCTTTGGTGTTATGTTATACTAAAATTAAAACATTACATGTTACAGTATACACATTACATATATTGCAACAAACATGATGTCATGTTTCTTTTTAAATAATTTAATATTTTTTTTTCTAAGTTAATTAAAAAATAATTTTGTTTTTCCTTTTTTTTTTAAATTCAATTCAAGATCATTTTTAATTATGATTTTTTTTAAAAATATTTTTAATATAATACCGAAAATTGCTGATACATTACGTTACATATAAAGAATTATAAAATTATAAAATTAATAAGGGTTTGCTACAAAATGTTATAGGAAAAATCAGATTGAAATACTTTTAAAATCAATAAACACTATTAGTTTTAGAATATACTCTTAGTTCTCATACAATTATATTTAGAAAATCAGAAACCTTGTACCGTAAACATTGTATCCAAAAATTACTAAATGCATAAATACAATTAAATTAAGTAATTATAAAAAAGAGTTATTTACATTCTGTTAAACAAAAAAAAACAATGGTCAGATTGAATTCCGTGCATTATAAAGAACTGAAAAAACTCTTTGACGTACCTTTAAAATTAGGAAAAACTAAAATTAATTTTCTTATCGTCATCATTTGTGCTATTAACAAAAATATTTTTTACTACATGGTGCTTTACAGCTTTCATAAAAATGATTAAAAACTTTCACTATTTTTCTTTTAAAAATTAAGTTTTTTTGAGTGTTTTGTGTTTTCACGTTATTTGAATAAATTTTTCTAAATGGTTTTTTGCTGATTTTTGTTTACATTTAAAAGGTTAACAAGCAAGGAAGCAAAAAAAATTTTTTTAAGTTTTTTTTTCGTTTTTAATTTATTTGTATTGTTTTTACAACGAAGTTTTTGAGAATTTAAAATGAAAACTTATAAAACAAATTAACAACCTTTTCTTTTATAAAGATTATTTTCACATCTTTGTTTATGAGGTGGAAGCTTTTTTCTTACAATTTTAAAGCGCAAAACCACACATTCTTATGGTATACTCTGCTAATTTTTAGTGAATTATAAGTACAGAAAGTGAGTGAATAAGTACTTTAGTGATTATAAGTACAGAAAGTCGAATAAGCTTAAAAAAATGTATGTATGTCTCGATAAAAAAAAACTAAATACTAATTTTATCTACATACTTTCAACATAAAGAAACCTTGAACAATGTATTTGTACATTATACACATGTACATATCTATAATACGCATTAGGATCCAGTAATTAAACTATTTAAGTTTATTATTAAATCGTCAAAAACAATTTTATCAATATTATTGTTTACCATAAATAGCTTAATTAGTATTTCGATAATATTTATTTTTTATTAATTTGTATATATATTTGTTTTAATTTTTGCAATTTTTCTTGAATTTCAGGTCAAACATTAGCGATAAAATGTTATCAGTGTCATGTAGGTGTATATGTGTATCAAATTGGCAATAATACGAAACAGCCAGCATTGTGTTCAAAATTTGATTGGTCTGAAGATTATATTGTGGATTGCCCATTTTCAACAATGTGCTTAAAAAAAGTTCACAAATATGTATTAAATGATAACGGTGATACTATTGAGACTGTTTTAAGGGATTGTGCTAGTCAAAAATATCGTGATCAAGTAAGTTAAATTAAAAAGTAATACAATCAAATTTTTTACGTTAACATATTTGCTTTTAAAAAAATAATTAATTTTCGGTTTATTTCACGTTCAATTTAGATATTAATGTGAATCTTAAATTTTAGGTATTTCGACAAGGCGGTTGGCAAGAGGAACACCGTATTGAGGAACCTTATCAGGAAGGATGCGAAGAATTAATACCATCAGAAAAAGCTACAATATCAACATATTGTCATTGTCGTGGCAATTTATGTAATTCTGCAACAAAAGAATCAAATGGTTTACATACTGATGCAATGGCAGTTATTTTTGTATACAACGCCCTTAAATATTTAAATAGTGGTTTAATACGATATTAAAAATATACGTTAGGATATAATGAAAAAAAAAATTGCTTGTAGTTAGATAAAAGATATAAAATAAAAAAATAGAGAAATGGTAAAAATATATAATAATATAACAGTATATTATGTAGGTTTATGATAAACAGAGAAAAATAATTTTTGAAACAATGTCTGTATATAGAATATAATTTAAGTTTTTTATTATTTTTTTACACATCTTAAATATTATTATATGTTGTGATATAAATTTTATTAAAGTAATTATCTATGTTTGAACTCAAAAAAAATGTATGAAGATAATGCAAGTGTCTTAATATTCCAGATTAATAAATAAAGATTAGAATAATTGATACCTAATAATCATCTTTATTAAAGAATAAAGGTGATAAAAATTATGATCTGTTTTTATTTCCCGTTTAGTAGGTAGTAAGATTTTGAATATGTACATAACGAAAACTTTTTAGATATGCATAGATATTTTAACTACAAACATTATGAGTTCAGAAATTAAGTAATAATCAATTAATAACTTACCGAACTTGCTTTATCCACTAAACATAAAAAGACTACATCCTCTCTTAAAAGACGTACAGCATCGTGCAACGGATATTTAGTTTTACTTTTTAACATTTTATATAATAATGCTCCAGACATATGTTCAAAATCTTGCGGTGTTAAATCGTCCCATTGCGTTGATATCAAACCTGAGCAATATTCTAGTAAACTAGAAGCTCCTACTTCTTCAGCTACGCAATAAAAACGTACACATGATCTGACACCCACTGAAGCTACTAAAGCTCTTTCGCATAAACCTAACAATCCTGGTAATTTAAATTTATGTGCTGCTCGAAGCAAACCGAGAGCTAATGTATCATGTTGTAAATCAACAACATCAGTATATATCCATCTTAAAAGAGCAAATCCAACATCGCCATCTAAATCACTCCAATCTAATTCATCTTGATCAATTAAGACTTCTTCACGCCATTCTTCTGAACGTGCATTCAAAACAAATTTATGACCAGGAATAACTTTGTCAGATAATTTAATTTTTATATCTGAATACGTATTTCGTCCGTATAATGTGGCAACAGTCATAACAAGACGTGAAACGAAACTACTGAATTCTTTTGCCTCTTTATCAGTAGACGATGCAGCCGCTTTACTATATTTACGTTCAAGTTCTGCATAGCCGCGTTGTAGTTTCGTATATTCTTCTTTAAGTAATTTTAAATGTTTTTCCAATTTCTCTGAATCGGTAGAAGCTAAAAAAAGAAATATTAGTGCATTATGTTAGTATTTATATTAAGAATATACTGATTAAAAGTAATTAAAAGTTCAATTTTTATGTACATGTAAATAACGGTAATATTCATCCTCCATAAAACTTCTATTATTTTGCAACAGGTGGCGAAATTTATGACATCAAAGAATGTCAAAGTCAATATTATTTTTTAGGAAATCTTGATATCAGCCTTCCCACTTGGATACAATTGTATCCATTTGGATACATTTTTTGCTTTAAATTTAGCTTGGATACAAAGATACTCAAATCTGCTAAAATGCCGAAATTGGCTACATTTCAAAATTTTGCTGAAATATGGATACATTTATTTCCTAAACACTAAATAAATGTTACAAAACTGTTAAAATGCTGCTAATATTAAAACGCGTAATTGCTTTATCTTTCAAAAGTGTTATTTGCTGGCATTTCTAAGCAAATTTCCGAGTTTACTAGAAGAAAGTAAGAAATCTGCTTTATTAAATGAGTGCTGCCTCTTCCTGTATTCAAATCCAGAACATTTAGACAAGAACGTACCAGAAATATTTTGGAGTAAGCTAGTTGTAATAGAAAATGCATTGGCTGTACATATTTTTTTAAATTTTTCCGTTTTAATGGTGAATTGTCTTTAGCACATAGTTCAACAACATATATGCATATGTTTTTTCTGACCTTAACTTTTAACACATTTAAAATATAATAGAAGTTGTATGTGATTTCTTAAAGAATTTTCTATAAATAAAAAAACCAACAATAGGACGGCTTGTTATAAAAATTCTGCTTTATGAGGTTAAATACATTTTGGATACATTTTTTCCTCGAAATTGGATACATTTTGTTTTTACCAAGTGGGAACACTGCTTGATATATCAAATAATATGTATTTATGTGCAAATATACATACATATATCTTATAAAAATTATCAAAATTTTATTGTATCCCATAAATTTAGTTTAAGATTATTTTGGGACTACATTATTTTTATTACAAACTTGCAAAATACTTGAATTTAATTGATTCTAATAACAAATTATAAGACCCGCGATGGTTACATTTTATGTTCTAAGAAACTCAGAGACACAACTTTTTGATATAAATTCTAATAAAAATGTGTAAATATTCAAAATTGTTTTCTTCTAAACAAAACTGCAATATTGATTATCAGAAAGTTTCAATTTCGGAAGCAATCAAAGCTAACTGATTTTCTGCTATCAGGAAATTGCATATTTTTCTATCTTTCGTTGTAACACTTATGTGTTTGATAATAGTAGTTCTCTGTTAAATAGATTGTAGAACAATTAAATGTGTCTTTAGGACATTTTTGAATATTATTTGTTCATAATTTTTAAAACATTTCCAAGAAAAAACATTCACAGTACGCCCCTACGTTTTTTCAACTTTCACTTTGGAATATACCATAAAATAACTTTTCAAAATTGTTAAATAAATTTTAGAGCTACATACCCATTCTCTTGTTATTTCAGTATTCTTAATTATCAGAATGTGATTTTTAGCAAAAATTACTTTGTTTAAAATAACTAAAAACGAATCAAAACATTCCCTATTTTCCACAAAATACAAATCACCGAATAAGTAAAATAGAAAGAAAACACTAATATGACATTTAAAATGTCATTTTTGAAAGTGACATACTGACATACAATCCAGTTTTAAAATTTAAAATAAGGAAAATTTTTCATTCACAATAGCACCTTTTTTGTAGTTTCAAAATTTAATCAAAATTTTGTAAGAGCGAGAAATTTCCTACAAATTGCAGAAAATAACAAAAAAAAATTATGTGCGCAAAATTATTTTAAAAATTCAAGTTTAACAGTTATAAAGGAAGACATTGGATTATATTATTAACAACTTATGACGTCAATGGGCGTCTAATTGCATCTGGCATACCACTCTTAAAATATTTTTTAAAATAAAACTTTATTAACAAATTTTAACTGTATTATAACTATGTCACAAATAAATACTAAACATAAAAATATAATATAAACTTTTATAAAAATCAGAAAAACATTTAGCTTAAGCTTTCACACCGAAATTCAAAATCAAATAAAATTAAATTATCAAACTTTTTGTTATTTATACTTGAGTTATGAATTTTAATTTAAATTTTAAATTGTGAATTGAGTGAAAATTATTCCATAGTTTATTATATCACAAACTAGATGACACTTTTTATTTCAAAATATAATGGAAAAATTTTTGTAGGAAATTGATGTCAATATTTGTGTAGAACAGTTTCGTGTTAGTGTTATACATTTACATATCCGTTATTTTCTACTTTAACTCCAATCATTAATATGATTTTAAACACATAATTTTTTTGAAAAATTGGAACGAGAATTAATTGAGAAGTGTAGTGCTAATTGGAAACTATTTATATAACAAAATAATGAAGACATGTGTAGTAATGATTGTGTAAATTTTAAAAATAAATTCTTATAAGGTGATATAATTTCTAATTTGTAAAAATTTCAATAAATCTAAATAATACTAATTTTATTAATAATAACTATACAATTAATAGTTTTTTATTGCAATCAAAAATTTGTTTTTAATACTTGAATATATGTATGTACTTATATACAAACGCATTTTTGTGTTTTGTCTGCAAATGAAAAGACAGTAACATACATATGTTTGACAGAACAGAATAAATTAACGGCACTTTGGAATAGAAAGAGTTTTATTATATGAAATGAAAACATTTTGATTTGAATTTAATTTTTGGTGAAAAACAAAATATTTTTGGAAAAGAATGAGAAGGTATTAAAATTCATAAATTTGCAAAGGCATTTCATAAATTTGTAAAAGTAAGTACCGTAAAATAAAAATACAGTAGCCTCAATATTTATTATAATAGTTTGTAATTGTCAGATATAGTAATAGTTAATAGTTAGGATTATCAGTCTCATACGTTCAGACAACATTTATGTTAATAAAACTAAATTCTTAGTATAACGTGGACCAAGCTTATATTATGTGAGTAAGAAATATCTCCGGAATTACAAAAATTCTTTATATTAATAACCCATACATAGTTATTTTTTTCAAGAACAAGAATTTTAAAACTAAAAAAGTGAATAATAAAATTGACTTTGTCGAAATGTCAACTTCATTGTTTATGTGAATTTTATATGTAAAAGAAGAAAACAGTTAATTTTTATACCTGTACGAACGTATGTTCGAAGGGTATACTAAATTTGCCTTACCGTTTGTAACGCTAAGAAATAACGGTCTTAGACATAGACTCAAGTGTATGTTTTTGATCAGCGTCAAATTCTGAGTTGATTTAGCTTTGTCTGTCCGTCCGTCTGTCCGAACGATAACTCAAAAACTAATTGAGCTAAGTTCACCAAATTTTCACAAATGATTTATTGCAGTAAGTGCCAGAACCCTATTTAAATTGGACATAATCGGGGTACCGGTTCGGGTAGCTGCCATACAACTTCAAAATTTATTTGGCTATATTTCAGAAACTATTAAAGCTATGGTATTGAAATTTTACACAAACGAATATATTAGTAGGGCCAATGTGTCTCATAAAAGTCGTTAAAATTACTTGGCTGCTTCTGGTACCTGCCATACAACTTCAAATGTTATTTGGCTATATCTCAGAAGCTATAAAAGCTGTGATATTGAGATTTCACACAAGTGAATATATTAGTAAGGCCGATGTGCTTGATAAAATTCGCTAAAATTTCTTGGCTCTTTCTGGTAGCTGCCATACAACTTCAATAGTAGTTTGGCACAACCAGTATTTTGAAAAACACATAGTACTGCAACTTTGCATAAATTAATATGGTAATACGGCAACTTAAAGTCATAGTCTGCCCCATAGTTAGTTATGGCACATTAGTTATTCGCACATAGTTGACAAGGTCAACTCTACTTTTTTTCTCGTTATATTTAAACTTACATATATGTATGCATATACCGCAAATTTTTTGTAAAAAGGAAACAAATGACCTGTAGTCTATGTAGTACATGTAAGTGTTGGTATATTAAAGTTTTTCTTATAGTGTGTATTCCAAGTTCTATAAAATTCAAGATTTATTTTAATAATGACTAGCTTTTTTCTTATTATTAGATTCTTTAGAAAGGTATTAATGCTGTTCTGGGCCGTATTACGCCAATTACCTTTTACTTTTAGAGTTAAAAAGTTAAAAAATAAAAGCAAAAGTAAAAGTGACGCAAAATGTCCGTAATAATTTTTTTTTTTGAAGTACAACATACTCCTTCTTTAGATCAATCAATGACTAATTAGTTGTAATTAAAAAAACAAGTTAAGACATTAAGTAATAGGGTGTCACATGTTTAAATACTCTGATAATAAGGTGTATTGGTATATTAGAAGCTTTCAGTAGTTTAAATGTCTATAGAAAATTGTGTACGAAACATTTTTATAGTTCAATAAATAAGTTTCCAGTACAAGCGAACAATAAAGTGAAAATTGAGTTTTGCCAAACAGTTTTGAATTATTTCTTTAGACGTTTACGGCCTTGATAAAAAAATGTATAATAGTTTAATTATTTCATCTTCTGAAAATTCTATAATGTTTGTTTCAAACACTTTTTCATTAATATCTCAAACTTCGGATTTTATTATAATAATTATTGCATTATCAATTTGGAGCTTTCTGTTTCAAATTCATATTATTTAGAGTTAAGAAGGAAATTTTTGTTGTAAATAGATAAAACCGGAGGATAACGTTGATTTCAAGTCATATACAGCAACCTATAAAAAAATTAAAAATTACCCGAAAAAATATTTCGTCAACAAGAAAAAATAAAATTAATAAATCAATAAATAAAATATTGTTTTATATTAAAAATTCCTATATATATATGTATACACGATTTGAGCTGAGGCCTGTATGCGGCGGCGATCACATAAGTTTAAAATTATAACAAAAAAAAACTTAAAAGAAGAAAACTTAACTGAATAATGAACACTTAAATTGTTTATACGAAAAAATACCACATAACCAATATATTCATGTATGTATAGGGAGGGGTTCATATGTTAGAATGTGTACAAGGACTTTAACTCGTTTTTTTATAATGTACTCAAATATGAATTATTTTTTTTTTTTTTAATATTATTTTGAAACAAAATTTTTCCATTGTTTTACTTAAGTTTTGTGTCGGTTTTATGCATTTGTTGTATGTATAACAAATAAATTGAAGTACATAGAATCGATCGCAATATAAATTCAATTTCCTCCTGTTTTCTTTTATAAGTAATTATTTTATGTATAATGAAAATGTGTGTACATATTTATTTTTTTTGAATATTGTTGCCAATACCACTATTGTTATAAATTTGTAACTTTATTTTTCATTGTTTAATTTTTCACTCCTTTTGTTCCTTTAATTATTTTAAGGACTTTAAAATCAAAAATAAATTTTTTTTTTTTTGCAATACATAATGTATTAAAATAAATTTTTTTTTAGAGTTAAATTTACCTATATGTATATGTACACATATTAGTCACTACCGCTAACAAATCGTTATTGTTTTCATGGGAATATTTTGTATAAAAAATATAATTTGTTATTTTTTAAATTATGTTTTGATATTGAGTACTTGAACTTATTATTGTTATAATTTGTAAAAACAAATGCGTCCTTTTATTTTGCATATAGTAGCTACATACACATATTGCAATGTAATGCAAAATAATAAACTTTGATAAGATTTTTTTTTTTTGAAGTTAAAATTTCAATATACCAATTGATATTTTCTCGTGTATTTTCCAATATTTAAAAAAAAAAGTAAAAATCAAATTAGGTTAACTGAAGAGTATCGGAACAAGAGTTATTGCAATTCAACACCTGGTCTTTTTCAATGAAAATTTATTTAAAACAGCGTCCGTGTTTCTAAAGTAAAATTTTTATGTTTTACTTGTTCCATAAGTTAAAAATTAAAGACCATAAAATTATAAAATATATATTATATATGTATGTTATAACAATATAATGTATAAATATACAGATATTATGAATGTTATACATGTTTTATTACTTATATTTCCGAGTTCGAACAATTAATTTTCAGAAAAATTAATTCAATTATTCTTTATTATGCTATATTTATTCTTAATATTTTAATAATAATAATAATAATATTAATAATAATGTCAAACGCTCATTCACTCCGTGGGCCGTCGACTCCTGGCCCATATACGCTGAGCAATCAATATACTTTTTTGCAATGTCATCATGTGGCTTTCATTCAATATCATCATTATACGATAGAAACAATAAAATAAGTGCATATAACCCAAAACTATACTATTTAGTTAGGATGCCATTAAATATCAACATTTAGTATAATTAGTTATTATCAAGATCAGTGTAGTTATTAGCACAAGTCAGTTAGGTTTATACATTAGGCATAAAAAAAAAAAGAAATAAAAGTGGAACAGTGCATATGGGCACAAAAATAACACCAGCCACGATGGGCTACAAACTACAAATTCCATGCTCAGACTTGGAATTTGTAGTTTGTAAACGCATCAAAAAACCCAAAAGCAGCCCTACTTTAAAGTTTAGTAAAGTATGATTGAAATGTCAAAATTTCTAGTTTGCAAATTGATTTAAATACAATTTATTGAATATATGTAAATACTTCCAAAATTATATTCTCTGTATTATACGTTATACTAATAATTAGCAAATTGTCAATTAACGCAAACAACAGCAAAAATTTAACAGGCGAATAATTTTAGTAATTACTGTAGGTGAAGTTAATTTGCAAACAAAATTTGTATGAACATTTTTGACAAGATTTCATAAAATTAAAATAGCTCCCAAAAATATTTCTGATTTCGAAAAAAGTTCGGAGAAACTGTTTTTGCATTAAAAACAGAAAGCAATATCAAAATTATTATTGAAATCAAATTTTAGCAGAAAGCATTAATGGCAAAAAAACATTAAAATAAATTTTGTAAAAGTTAATTAAAACGAATTTCTTTGGTATACACTGAAAGAGAAATTTAGTTTTTCTGGCAAAATCAGTTTGCAAGTAAACTTAAGAAATTCGCCTATTTTTACTTGGCAGATATTTTAACTGTCACAGATAATCTGTTTTCGTTTCATTTAAAAATACATCTTAAATTTTCTAAATTGCTACTTCTAATAACTGAACTGTTTTCCATCTCTTTCTAATGAACAAAACAAGGAATCATAAATAAATGTTCATGTATATGTAAACTGTAGATTAACTTGTGCTTCAACATTTTATTAATGTACTAAAATATTAACGAGGCAAATAGCACAATAACACATTTATACATTCATACCTAAATTAAAACAAAATTTTATTAAAAAGGCCTTTTTTTAAACTTAATTTAATATTTATTGCAAAAATTTTAAAATCTTTCTATTACTATTATTTTAAAAATTATTTAACCTACTTCGTAGGTATTTTAAATTCTTTTATACTGGTTATTTGTTATATTTTTAAAATTAAACTTTTTTAACAACTACTTAACTCTACGGTATTATTCCTCAAACATAATACAACGATAATTTTTTTAGCCACACGCGTAGGCATAAATTTGTTGTCCAACATTATCACGATTTTTTTTTCTTAAACTTTAAACAATTTATTTCATAACTTTATTAATTTTAATTTTTATGCTCAATTATGTGTATATTGATATATGTGTGTGTGTTTTAACTTTTTTTCTGACTATACATATCAGATATTAATCGAAACATGGTGATATTTCCAATAGTTTTTCGAAAAAATAATTCTTCAATTGTAAAACTAGATATATTTGACATTAAATTGATAACATCAATTAAATTTTGATATCGGCCAGGGTTAGACTTGTGAGCGTTCAGTGTATAATCAATTAAAGCTATTTTTGCATCTTCATGTAATTTCAAAATACTAGAACTTTCAACAGTACTCTTTCTATTGTAATCTGAGCTAGAACTATCTTCTGGATTTAGTGTTATATTAACTGTTTGATTAAATTCACTATCTTTAAATAAAATAATTGTTTGCAATAAATCATATTCCTTTTTATCAATAGCCAAATGATGTAATTGATTTAAAATTTGTTGGAATATTGGAAGCTCTCTTGAAACTAAAATATAATTTTCTTTACCCAAATTCTCAGATTCATACACATAGATAAGTAAAGAGAAATTGATTGGAGTTAAAAAATGAGCCAATGATAATATAAAAGATTCTTTCCATGATTTTTCTAATAGAACTAATTGTTCAGACATTGGTAGATCCGTAAAAGTTGCAATATTTTTTGTCCAATTCAAATTCTCAAATAAATATTTTGCAGCATTTTCTCTTATTTGTTCAGCTGCTAAAAATGATGAAGTGATTGGAAGAGTTCCAGTTCCCAATTGAGCTGCACCAATATGATGTGGTACTGTTGGAATATAAAAGTTTGGTGGATATGGCGGTATTCTTGCCAATGATAAGTCCAAAGATGGTGCAACTGATTTTAAAAAACTAAAATTAATAGCTTGTGGTGCAGCTGCTAAAAATTGATGATGTGTCGATTTAGTATGATCATCTAAAGCCTCCTTATAAATTGCCATTTGACGTCGTAATGTTGAGTTTCGAGGACCACGCTCATGTTGAACTGAATCTTTATTCATACCAACTTCAAAACATTTTCTTAATCTACATGCCCGACATTGATTTCTATGAGTTTTATCAACGACACAATTTCCTTGTTTTTGTGATTTACAAACGTATTGCCTATTTCGACGTATTGATCTTTTAAAAAATCCGGCACAACCATCACAAGCATAAATCCCATAATGTTTTCCTGAACTGTGATCGCGACATACTTTACAGGGAACGTGATATAGTATACGACCTGAAAGAAAATACAATGTAAAATTAAATTAACATTAAATTTTCGGAAAACAAATGAAATCGATAATAACTAAAATGTTTTGTTAAAGGACATTTGAGTGATTCAAATTTTTTGAAATACCATTTTGCGTTCTAATATTTTAATGCTTCAACTAATACGAAATGATGGCTTAGAAAGAATTCTCAGTATATGTCACAAAAGTCATATTTTCACTGAAGCATTTTGAATGAGAGTTGATTTTGGAAACTAATCTAAAATTGATTTGACTATAATTGTGCACTACAATGGCTTTTAAAATATACTTGTAAATATATTTTTGTCCAGTTTTGTTAAAGAAAACGATTTAGATGGTATTCCGGCATCTATATTGCATTCAATTGAAATTTCTATAATTGGTTACTTAAAAATTTAAGCTATTATATTCGTCGTAACAACTTAATTCCCGCATTAGCTATGGCATAAAAAATTGTTTACTTTTTATATTTGCTCCAAAAGCACGTAGTTTTCATATTTTCAAAGAAAACCTTAAGTTTTGTTTAAAAACCATCTGTATACTTATGATGAAATACATACAAATTTTTAAAGTGAAATTTAAGAGCGCGACGGTGTGATTCCATTTTGCATTATACATACGATTTTAGAAAGTAAAGATGATATTGCTTTCCAAAGCCACCTAAAATTCAATTAATTTTTTTGTTTAATGGTATAGAGAAGAGCAATTATATGAGAAATACTCTTCGAATCACTATGTGCTAGTATAGAACTCTTAATTTTAAAGAAAATGCTATTACTATTACTTACTTGATTGTTGGGAAGACAAATGTTCATATTTATTATCAGTAATGCTTATATCCGTTTGCATATTGAATTTTATTCAACATAAAAAGAGTCACAATATGAATTATAATTTAAGTCACAATATAAACAAAAAAAATATCTTCAACGATTTTAAAATTCACTTTTTAATTATATTATTTATAAAATATAGAAATTATAATTAATTGAACAATTATTTTAGCTTATATTTATTTTAGTACACATATTGTTATTTTTTTTATCCGAAAACTTAATGAATTTCAAAAAGAAATTTACCGATTTCTAATAAAAAATCCGACGTGCGGCGGCTATAAGAGTTAATAATCTATACAGAATATAATTTCAATAAAAATATTTTGCTTTCTAATTGTTTTTATAATTATTATTGTATTTTATTATTTTTTTTTATTAGTTTTCTAACACATTTAATTGCTTCTGTTTTTTTATTCTTAAGATGTTTTCCATAATTTATAAAAAGTTAATTTTTATTTTGACACAAAAGTTAAAAGTAAACAAGCGATCGTCATTCATCGATAGTAAAATCTACTTTGTCATCATTTATAAATTATGACTTTTTTTTTTCTTATGTTTACTCAGAATCCTGGATGTTAAAAAAAAATCCAAAACAAAAAAAAAAAATAAACAAATAATTATTATATCCTTGCAAACAAAAATAAAAAATATACAAAATCATGTTGATCTAACTAGCGATCTTTATTCACAAAATATTTCTGATTGGTTAATTCTGTTTTCACAGGATAAATCTGTGCACTAAAAACATTATACTCTGAATTTAAAATGTTCAAAAGGGTGTGGCTAATCCAAGTTTTTTCTTACTGTTTTTGAGTATATTCTATCGTTGCCATTGAGGCATGTGTAGTTATAAATTTTATTCGTTTACACAGTCTCACTCTAAATGTCTACTCATAATTTTTTATTTTCCCTTATAAAATTAAAAAATATATGGGTATTGAACTTTTTAAAGAAATATTACTTCTTACATTGTTATATCCTTAAATATTTTAACTTCCAAGGTGTTGATGTTGATCAAAAATATATAAAAACAAAAAAGTTAATATATACAGGGTGGTCTAAAGAACAAGAGTATAAATTGAGAAAGAAAAAAAAATATAAAAAACAATATTGTATGTGAAAAATTTTTCTATAAAATAGGGGTGAATTGAATATATATGTATAATATTGTGCTTGTGCAGGAAAAGAGCAAAAAATAGGGTGGTTACAATAATATCATAGTTGTTATAGTAGTTGAGCGAAAACGAAATAAAAAAAAAAACAAAAACTGTAATGTTAAAATTAATAAACGTTATAAGTTATAACTTATAATTACCTAACGTAACTAAATACACATAATATATGTATACTCGTTTGTATGCAATGATGGTGTAAGATATCATAAAAATATAAGGTATAATTTTATGGGGGTTGTTTTGATTGAGGATGTGTATGGCGGTTTGTAATTTTGTAATTCTTTTTTTAAAATTTTAATATTTCACAGGAATCAAAAATTTTTAAAACCCCTCTATATATGTAGTTAACTAATACATATTACAAAAATGTATGAACACATGTTCATTTACATTATATGCATATAAAATAAGTTGAAATTTAAGTAAGTACATTTAAGTCAATTTATTTTACGTTTCAAAATACGAGCATATAACAAAAAAACGTTCGTTTAACAAGACTTTTTGACCACGCAATTAACTTTAATTTATTTATTATCTCAAGGATTTTATATGGTTTTTCAGTGTTATATATTATAAAGAGAAAAGATTTTTCTAAGGAAATATAGAGTTGCTATTTCAATTGGAAAGAAATGTTATTATTATAAAATTAATTTTTGAAATAGAAATGTTTAATGTGAGTTAATGGATGCATGAAGTCGATGTTAAAGAACCAATATAATTATAAAACTGAACTATTGTAAACAAAAATCAGATTACTAACTGTGGTCTTTATATAGTCTAAAAATACACAAACTGTATTTCTTGCTTCTTTCTTCCTCTTTCTATTTTTAATTACAATACTAGTTACTAACTACTACTAGTTTACATATTTGAATATGTAAGAGCATACATACCTCTATAAATAATAGCACAAGTATATACAGGGTCGGGCTTTAATTATTCCAAGCGATATTACTTGAATACGCTATTCTCAACATAAAATTCTCAGTAATTTGATTAATTGACTGAATAAATTTTAATTTTTCTATCTATAGTTTTAAAATATAATTTTGATCAAATAATTCAAATTAATAGATGTAGAGTGACAGTTCAGTTTGTCGTTGTCATTTTTATTCAACAAATTTTATCATGGAATAATATATGTAGGCTTTAACAATATTTAGAAATCATACAATTATTTTTGCCAAAATAGTGGTTTCATTATTCTAATTAATAAAAGACTTTTGTTACAAATCATATGAACTCGGTTGGTAAGTTGAACATTTGTATACCAGAAGAAAGATACCGCTCCGAACGGTTTAAGTCATTTAAGGAAAAAAGTTGTTATAAAAAAACTTTTGCAGTACTTTATTTTTCTAAACAACTTTTAAACTTTAGAGAAGGTAGCAAGATCACGTCACCTGCAATATTAACGTTTTTAAAAAATGAAAAGTTAAAATTTCAAATTTTTCGAACTTCAACATTGGTGACGTGTTTAACAGATTATAACTAATCTAGATATATAAATGCGAAGGTTCTTATTTTGAGATTTTTAAATTATAATATATTTAATAATGTGCCTATCTGACACAGGAATGAAGTTATAATAAAAAGTCAAAATTCACTCGAAGCCTTTGTAACTCGGAACTTGTCGAGCTCTGAACAATGTCTCTATGCAAATGTTCTTTTTGCCAATAAGGGTCAAAAGAATGGTAGATAGCAAAGGATTTAGTCACGAAACACCCTGTATTATTTAAACAAAAAAAAATATAAAAAAAAAATTGGAAAGTTTTGTTCGAATATGCACAAATTTTCGGGATATTCTAAAAGGAAATATTTTGAAATATTTTTAAATTTTTATGTACTCGTATAGGTAAATTTTGTTCGAAATTATCTCTAATTTTTAAATTTTTTTATAAACGAGCATTTCTAATTTTTGATACTCGTAGCTAAATAACTGAAATACGAAATGTCATTCAATGAAAAATTAATTTAATAAAGTAGATACTTCAAAACCCTTCCTGATAACTCGGTTTTTAACATCTATGGTATTATTGTTTAGGGTCAAATACTCTGATTAATATGCTAAAACATAAGTTGTGCTAGAAATGCATACAAAACTGTGTAAATTAGATTTGAAAATTGTATTGACAGAAGAAACTATATTAGGAAAAAAAATATATTTTATTTTAGTTTTTTACGACTTTTGGTAATTAAAACTTCAAATTTGATTTTTCTAGGACGTCATTTTTATACCGAGGCTGGATGTCCTGGAGATCTGTTTGCTTGAATTCTCCAGACTTGCTATTTTGAATGAAGTCCTCATTTTAAAATTTAAATTTTTTTTAATAGTCTACATGTTATACATATGTGTGTATATATGTAAGGTTAAATTTTGCTTTTAAAATCATAGCTGTGTAAAATTGCTTTGCATTATACAGAGTGATTAAGTAATAAGTACAAGTATATACATTTGTTTAGGGGATCAAAAATGGGTAATACAATTACTATTTAAAAATGGTGTAGAATTGAGCGTCAAAGCGCACGGTTATCGAAATACTGGAATTTTAAGAAGACTTTATAAAATTTTTACTTGCACATGTGTTTTCCTTGTATAACTTCCATTGAAAAGCAGGTGAAACCTTCACACAAAATGTTTTTGAAAGGACTAATATAAACGGCTTGAAATAAGCATATTAACGTACTTCATATTTTATATGCTTTGAATGTTATAAGCATTCTGTAAGCACATACTTTAGAAAAATTCAAATTTAACCCTTTATTTGTTTTGTAAGTTTTCTTTATTAAGCAAACTCTACAATTTGTTGTGCAATATTTTGAAACTAAAAAAAATTTTGAAGAGAATTTTTACTTAAGTCATGGTTATGACTTTCAAGATTTTAAAGCATTATGATACAAAGAATAAATGCAGACAATTAGCGGGCTAGTGCATGATATCATGCCCTAGTTTCATACCGTCATAGAGTTA